ATGCCAATACAACATGGGGAAGAGCAGGAATTCTGTCATCAGGCTTGGAAAATTTTGATGTCTACATAGTTAATGTGATAGATTCGTTTTCATTTGTTGATTCAAGGGTAATCATCGTAGCCTGGATCTGATGTTGGGTTCTGTGGTAGCTTTTTGTTTCTGTGACAAAATACTTGAGAAAACCAATTTAAAAGAGGAAAGAGTTACTTTGGATCATTGTTTCAGTCCACCATTGGCTGTTCCATTGTTTTTGGGCCCAAGGTGAGCAAGAACCTCATGGTGGTGAGCTATTATGTGGTAGAGTGCAGGAGCCCAGCTGCTCACCTCATGGCAGTCAGGAAGCAGAGAGAGAGAAAGAGAGAGGCACAGAGAGAGAGAGAGAGAGAGAAAGAGAGAGAGAGAGAGATGAAATGGGGAGGGGGCGCGCGGACAAGATTTCCCCACCCAAAGTGATCTAATTCTTCCAACTAGATCCTACCTGCTAAGAGCCCGTTCAGCTATGGATTAATTCATTGATGAGGTTAGTGTCCTCATGATCCAGTCACCGCTCAATAGCACCACCAGATGCGGAACAAGCCTTCGACACATACATGTGCCTTTGGGGAACATTTTATATCCAAACCAAAACAGTCTTTAAAGGAATCACTCTCAAAACAGATACTTCTGATAATGGACCTTTCTGTAGATGACCGTGGTGGAGCCGGAAGAGAGTGAGGAGTCAAGTGTGAGGCAGGGACCAGTGTGCTACCTCTATCATAGGGTCATCTTCTCCTATTTTGGATCAGAAAGTATAGATTGACCTTCACCTTTCTTCAGTCTCACAGCTAAGCTTGCAAACATGTACTAGGTATGGATTTCAGTGAGGGATGGAAAGAACATACAAAGGAAACCCTCCCCTCAAAGATTTCTACAAATCTTTCTCTTAGAAATCTGCTTTCTTTAATATCTATCGACTTTAATTAATGGGGGGTGGCGAGAGGAGAAAACAGTCATCCTAATGCAATGGAAAAAACCTGGGAGGTAGGTTACACCAGAAGAAATAAGGATTCTAGCTCTAACTCAGGTACATATGATTGTGACCTTGATCACAACGCTGTTTCTGAGCCTCACTTTCCTCATTCATAAAGTGATAATTGGTAAGATCATAATCTCGTCTTATTCTTGTAGACACCACTGTATTTATACTTCCAGAATTCTCCGTATCATTTACACTGTCACTATCTTCTCATTCGGTCCCTAAAATAAACCTATAAAGTAGATATGATGGGGGTATTTTTATTCCCATAAGAGAGATAGGTGTGTTGAGGATGAGGAGTTAGGTGCTTGTTCAAGGTTTCATTAAAAATAAAAGTCTTGGGCTGGTGGAGTGGCTCAAGTGGTAAGAGTGCCTGCCTAGCAAGTATGAGGCCATGTTCAAACTCCAGTGCCACCAAAATAAATAAATAAAAAGTCAAGATTTTCATTTCATCTCCAAGGGGCTGGGGATGTAGTTCAGTGACAGAGCAGTAGCCTAGCGTGTTAAGGCCATGGGTTCAATCCCCAGCAGAGAGAGAGAGAGAGAGAGAGAGAGAATAAATAAACAACTCTTCCTCCTAATCCACAGCAATTCCTTCTTAGCAGAAGGCTTGTGCATGGGTAGATACTGGTATATTGGAGAATGTGGGCATCTGTCTGTTGGGTTTCTCTGATGTGTGAAAATAAAGAGTACAATTATTAGGTAGACTCATGATTTCCCTAGGTTTACATTGTTGGTCTGTTCTTTGATGACTGCTTTTTTCTCCTGGATGTTCTATGCTATGGGATAATTCACACTAACTGAATTAAGTAAGACAACCAGAAATGGTAACTGGAGGGAAAGAGGTGACAGGCCAGGAGAGATGGGCAAGTAAAGGGAAAAGAACTAAGAGCTAAATAGGCAGGCACTAGTCTATGTACTTTACCAGTATTAACCCATCTGGTTCTCCTGTTAATCCTAGGAGAAAGGTTGCTGTCATTATGCTTATTTTATAGATGTTGAAATCAAGAATTGAAGAACTCACCCAAGCTAGTCAATGTCAGAGCCAGGATGAGAAGCCAGGCAATCTGATTTTAGACTTTGCACTTTAACCACTCTCCTGTTGCGGTCAGATTGGGTAGTCATAAACTTTGATGAGCTGCTCAAATATAAAGTAAGATTTTTTTTAAAAATGTCCATACAAAGCTACCAAGATTGCATTGGAACTGGCATACCAGAAAATAGTATTGACGATGGGATGCTTTTTTTTTTTTTTTTCAAAAAGCGGTATTTGCCAAGAGATATAAAGTTCTTCATACTTGATTTAGGAATGACAACCCTGGAAGTTTGTTCTAAACTCATAAATTTAACCAAAGCAAGAAGTTATTTGCATGAAGTTTATTGGATGATCTGTAATAATGGAAAATGGGGAGTAAACTAAGTACCCTTAGAATAAGGTATGATTAAGTAATTTCACAATCCATTCATTGGTTGGATTATCATGAAAACATTTAAAATGGTAACTACAAAGACTATTTAAAAGGATAGGAAAATAGTCTCTATGTGAAGATTCAAAAGCAGGATAAAAATATGCAGATTATGAGGACAACTCTGATATATATGCATATTGGCAGAGCCTGAAATAGAGCAGGAAAAAAATATCTAGTAGGTGTTTGTTAAGTCTTTTCATTCTTTGATTTTTTTATTAGTGATGGATTATGTTTATTTAATAGACAATGAAAAAAGGAAAGAACTGGTGGCAGAGGAAGCTATTGTCTAAGAAAGGGACTGGGGACTATCAGTGGGTTTTCCCTTGGCTGCTTTCATCACTGAGTCCTCTGGGTTTCCTGTGAGGAAGACTGTGGTTTCGGCTGGGGATTGGGAGACCCAGGAGCTTGAGTGAGACAGGAAGGATCCTGCCCTGTCATTACTGCTACGACTACCATGGCTGACTAGGTCAAGGCAGGATATGAGTTTCCCTATGTCTTCACCTTTCCTCACCTTACTTTTCCCATTCTTGATTGGCCAAGTCTTAGAAGTCTTAGAGGACATTTTCTTGGGATCAACCCTAACTGCTCCTTCAACTCCCACCAACTGGGCTAGGTGCCTTTCTAAGGGAAAGTACCCAATGTTGCTGGCATCTCTGCACCCAGTGGGCTCCATGAAGATGACCTGGTGACATCACTGAGGCTCTCAAGGCAAGGATTGGGATCTCAAGCTTATCAGAATCTTCTCCCCTGCCCTGACTCAGGCACAGTAGGTACTGAACAATGATCCTCTTCTTCGTCTTCTTCTTCTTTTTTTTTTTTTTGGCAGTACTGGAGTTTGAACTCATGCTTGTACTTGAGCTAATCTGACAATCCTGTTTTGTGTTTATTTTCGAGATAGGGTCTCTTGAACTATTTGCCCCGGGCTGGCTTTGAACTGCAATCTGCCTGATCTCTGCCTCCTGAGTAGCTAGGATTACATGCATGAGCCACCAGGTTCCTCAACTGTTCCTCCACTTTATCTCTTAGATGGGGCAGGTTGGGTTCCATTCCTTGCACTCCATATACTATGACTTTTACCATCTAGTTTTTTTTTTCTTCCTTCCTTCCTTCTTCCCTCCCTCCCTCCCTCTCTCCCCCTTAAAAAAAAAACCAATTCATTAAATAAAGGGGCCACTGGGTTTTGCAGAGAATCCCCAGTATAGGAAATATCCTCTGTCTTTCTGCCAGTGGAACCGCCCCCCCACCACCCCAAAGCATTCTCAGGCCTTGGTGTGGACAGTGCGCCTGGTCTGAGGGCTGCACTGGGAGTTTCCATAGCAGATGGGCTGAGTGGTCACAAACATGGTGAAGACTCTTTGCTTCTGTCTTCTGAGTACCCCACGGCCACACGCGACATGGTAGCTGTACCTCCACGTGTAAATCTGCAGGAACCCTGATGTCACATATCTGCCTGTGACTGTGGAAGTGGGCGTGTCTGTGCACATGGCTGGGTGTGCCTGAATTTCTGGACAGTGTGCACACATCTCAGTGAACGAGTGGTTTTCAATTCGGCAAATTATTGGGAGCTTTGTGCTCTCCTAGAGCAAGACTGCGATGCGTCAAACAGGGAGACTGCGGTGTGCACGTCTTACCTGTCTCTGCATTGTGTCCTTTCTGTGTGTCTTTTGGAATGCGTTCTTGGCACGTGTCCTGCCTTAACAAGGCGTTTGTTCGGTGTGTGCATGTCTGTGCGGCAGTGCCTGGGTCCTGTCTGCGGCTGCTTGCTCGCTTTCCAGCTTCACTTGCGCCCGCAGTCAGGCTCTGCACGTGCGACAGCCTCCATGCGCACGTCCCTGAGTGACCCGTGCGCGGTGCGCAGGGACCTCCGGGTCGTGTGCACTTCGTGCGCTTATGCCCTGTCTCTCTGCACTAAGGAACGCACCTCCACATGTCTGGAGCACGTCCCTCTCCATATGTGCACGCCGCCCGTGTGAGAGTGTGTGTGTGTGTGTGTGTGTGTGTGTGTGTGTGCGCGCACGCGCGTGTTCAGGGGTGCTGCGCGCGCCCTCCGGCCCGCGGGCGGCCAGACACCCGCGTTGAGCTCCACGCGTCCCGCGGGGCTGACCCCTCCCCCCGCGCCCCGCAGCGGGCCGCGGCGATTGGTTGTCCGCTCCCTTCCAGCCGTCACCCCTCCCTCCCCCCCGCCACCCGCGTGCCCGCGGTCCCCGCTGTCCCCCGCGGTTCCGGCGAGGCCGCGCCGCGCTGCGCTCTGCTCCCATTGGCTGCGCGCGCCTTTGTGTGGCGGCAGCTGCGGCCCCAGCGCCTTTGAATGTCGAGAGGGGCCGGGAAGGGAGCTTTTCCATGGGCCATCTGTCTCCCCGCCAGCCGCCGCCCCACCGCCGCCCGCGCCCCGCGCTCCGCCTCCCGCCCCGGCGGCTCCCGCAGCCCCGCCACCGCCCGCGCCCGCGCCCCGGAGCCGCGCCACAAAGGGCCCGCGCGCAGCCGCCGCCGCCGCCGCCGCCGCGCGAGGAGCCAGGATGGTCCTGGTCCACGTCGGCTATCTCGTGCTTCCAGTGTTTGGCTCTGTGCGAAACAGAGGTATCGCTTTTTCCTTTCGGGGTCTGCTTCCGAGCGTGGATCGCCGCAGGCACCGGGGCGGGAGCGGGCGCGGCGGGCGGCCGGGGGCTCAGGGCACAACCGCGAGGTCGCAGGGTGAGAGGTGGCTGCTCCCCATCTCCTTTTGGGGAGATACCCCGAGTGTGGGGATGGCCGCCCTCGTGGGAGCTTTTGTAGTGAAGTTAGGGTTTGGCGAATTTGGGTCCCTCCCTCCACAGCCCCATTTTTTATTCTTTGCGGCGGACGTGGTTTCTTCCAAATCACAGCCCCTTCCCCTTTAACCTAGCCCCGTATGAGTGTGTGTGTGTGTGTGTGTGTGTGTGTGTGTGTGTGTGTGTGAGAGAGAGAGAGAGAGAGAGAGAGAGAGAGAGAGAGAGAGAGAGAATATGTATATGCATGTTTGGTTTTCTGTGATTTGCTTTTTTTATTAATATATGTGTGTTTTCTGTTAAATGTGCTTTGTATATTTTCATTTTTTGGTCCTTAATACCGATGGTATTAAGATTAGATGGGATTTGGGTATCTGCCCCATCCCGTGCCCCAGCCCCCACTCTCTCGTGGGCACTTGCACATTTTCCTGTACCTTCGTTTTCTCCCCTTTAACCCTTCTTTGTTATTGGCCTTATGCCATGGCCCTACTTACCTCCCCACCCCAATTGTCTTTTGTATGACAGTTGCATTTATGGGTTCAAGAAGCTTGTGTGTGTGTGTGTGTGTGTGTGCGTGCGTGCGTGTGGGTGCGCGCGCGCGTGTGTATGTGCATGTGTGTGTGCGCGCCTTGGAGATCAGATGCGCGCTGCCGTGCACCCCGGGCCGGCCGGAGCGGGTTGTGTGGCCCATGGGTGTTACGCTGTGTGTGAGGGTGAGGTGGGAAGCTGCCCCCACGCCAGGCCTTTGCCCCTGGTAGCGTTTGACCAAGCAGCAGGCCAGCGCGGGCTTTGTTTTTAACTGTGATATATGGAGTGTGTTTGCACGGCCCCCTTTCCCCACATTCCCTTTCCCTTATATTCTGCTACAACAATAGCTTGATTTTTCCCCCTCTTCTCCCCCCACCCCACATTTCTTCCATTTTCGTTTAATCAAAAATCCCACCTCCCAAAGCAAATCCGAGATGCATTTCAATTCATTTTTTCTTTTTTTTTCTTTTTGTATTCTGCCTTTGGACTCACATTTCTCTTGGAAATGTTTCTTCTCTCCCACTCCACGTCTGCTTAAACCCCTGCTGGCTAAGGCCCTCCTCCCTCAACCCCCTCCCTCTCACACAGAATGATGTCTTCCCTTTGCAGACCCGGCTCCTCCACGGAGTCAGGGTGGGGGGTGGGGTCGCAGGGCCAGCGCTTTAGTGCGCCCCAGGGGCCGGATTGGGCCTGGCAAGGAAAGACCAACCCTCCTTCCAGCCCAGCTGTCCCCAGCCCCGCCTTTCCCCAGAACCCCTCTAGGCCTGTTTGAAGCGCAGTTTTTCGTGTGATGATAGAATGATGACATTCTGCATTTATCAAATCTTTTTTTTTCTTCATTGTGTAGCTCAGTGAATGGTCAACTCGCTGCTGTGTGCGCTGTGACCCTTCTGCCTCCGCATTTAGCTGTATTGTGACACCCCTCTTAACCATTTCCTGTCTCCATCTGAGGAAGGCATTGCTATTTAAGCGGCAGTATCCCCTATCTCAGGCCAGCCTAGCGTGGGGGGGACAGTGAGGGAGAAGGGTGGGGGTGCTGTATCAGAGCTCCTTGAAATGCCACCCCTCCCCCAATACACAATTATCTCTTATTACTTGGCATTTCCTCTTAAAACGGGTGTGAAACATTTCACTAGGCAGAAATTCAAAAATGATTAAGAAGGATGTTGAGCCTGAAAGTATAATTATCCTGATTAAATCATTATCATCCTCATTAATACCACCAATCTCTAAATAGCATTGCAGCATGCCGGTTTCATGTTCTGAAATTCAAATTGTTCAGCTGCCTTTAAATTTTATCTCCAATATCACTCCCCTCCACCGACAAAAATCCAACTAAACCAATTCTGCCCGTCAGTCCAAGTTTACTTTCGTGGCAAAGGTGCCCACAGGAAATTTAAAGGCGGGGGGGCGAGTTGGGCTATGGGTAAAATTTAGCACAGTGTGCTAAGAATTTATGACCTTCCGATAGAGGATACTAATGCTTAACTCAACAGGGTCCTAAACCACAATCTTCTTGTAAAACTAGTAGATAGTCTGCCAGCTTAAACCTGTTCTTTTTAGTTTCCATTGTAGTAGTGCAGGATGTAGGCCATTTCAAAATAGATGTAGAGAAATAACCATTTTTGTATCTTCATCTTGTTTAGCCAAATACATTGCACTGTAAATCCCTGTTAAGTGGATTCCTTTTGCCTTGACTTGGAGGCAGCAGCGCCCCATTTTCCACTTGTCTGGATGGCTATCATCTGGCCTGGCAGCACCCAGACGTAACTGGAGATGACATTCAGTTGGAGGCAAAAATTACTAGGTATATATATTTAAAAAGAAAATGTGAAAAGACAGTTGCTGCTATTACAGCCTCTGAAAATTTGGTATACCAAGGTCCCTGGCTTAAGGTGGAGCCATGGCCATAGGGTCTTAATTGTTTAATCGCACAATGTCAAGAACATCTTTGGACATCTGCCCTGGCCCTCAGAGCTGCCCCTTTAACAGCCGGCTCCCTTCTGCTGCCTGGCCAGCCAGACCTGCTTGAAAACTGAAACAAAACAGCAGCAATCATGAAAGAATAAGGCCCCTGCTTCGAGGGCCTTTCCAAAATAAAGTCCCAAATAGCCTCCCCAGACTGCCACTTGGCAATCTGAAAAGAAAAAAGAAAAAAGAAAAGAAAAAAAAATCTCAGCAAAATGGTTTTCCATTAAACAGGGGTAGCGTGTTCTGCTGTGCTGAATTACTTCCTGTTCTTATTTTGTGGGTAATTTTTTCTGTATCAAATATCCTTTTGGTTGTGTATCTTTTTCACCTTTTCTTGTACTAAAACTAAAGCATGATCTGTATTTTTTTACATCCCCCAGTTGACAATGTACAGCGCTCGGTTAGAAATGTTGCCCTGCTGAACTGTACTGTGGTCGTGTAGCCCCGACCATCTGCTCATTGTACGCTGCTTTTGTTCTGTTGCCCTTCCGAAGCATGGTGGGCCCAGCCTTTTTTTTTGTATTGTGTGCATGATGACATTGTTACACACAGAATCCACTAATACTAATATACAATCTCTCAATAAAGAACTAGTTTTCCTATATTAACCTAGTGTGCTTTTTCTCTTGCTGTTTTTCCATTTATTGTCGTATCCTGCTGTTAGATTTCCCCCTTGCTTTTCTATCCCCACCCTCACCCACCCACCACCCCCACCTCCCATTTGTAAGATTTGAGTGAATGCCTTTTCTTTTTACTTTCTTTCTTTTTTTCCTTTGTGGTCTAGATATGGTGGCTTTAATTTTATCTAGTCCATATCTTTTAACAATAGAAGTCTGGGGCCATGGGAGGGGTCAGTTGTCCTGTCACTGAAACACTTCAACTGCCTAGAGAACACCTATCTTTGACCACCTGGGTATTCAGTACCTTTCACATCTCATCTTAGTTCCCAAGTTACAAGGCACTGAGTGGGTTTATTTATGATGCTGGTGAAGGAAGGAGAAATAACACTTAGGTTGAGAAAAGGGATACTGTTCTTAACTAGCAATCTTATAGCATTTCAGACTCGCCTGAAAACCCATTTTGAGTTGTGTTTTAACTTTTCCGTTTACTGTCTCATTGATTTACTGTCCTTATAAATCATGCTGAAGGTGACATGTGACATGTAGTTAAAGCCATGATCTGAAACTCTAAAGAACCCTTTTCGATGTGTATATTTAAATTCTTGGGACCCGCAATGTAAGTTTGGCATTAGGATCTTGGATAAGGAAGTGTTTGAAACAGAAACCCACTGAGACCACCCTGACTCCAATCCAGGGCCAGCAGCCTGACCTGGTACTGTAGGAAGAAGAGGGTCTGTGCCCTCTGCTGGCTGTGCACCATTTAAAGCTGATTATAGCCTGCTTGCCTGACAGCTGTTTCATCTGTGGCCCTAGGGCCTCCCTTGGGAGAAAGCAAGCCAGATTTCAGCCATTGTCTAAGTGTGTCTTGTTGGGAAGGGGTGGGGAGGGAAGTCAAGACCTATGTCCAAATTGAATTGCAAGAAGAACCCTTAGAAGTGTTTTTTTTTTTTTTTCCTGTAATTGCGTTGGAGAAGCTAGTGAAGAGGTATTTCTGCCCCTTGTCCCCAAGCCAGAACCCAAATTCAAGCATTTGTCAATTACACCTATTCAATTTCAGCCCAGAGCAAGCTTTGCTAAATGAGGCGTTTTAGACACCCGAGGAAATCAGTTGATTAAAGAAATTCATGGTTCCTTCAAGGGGTCATCATTTTGAAGCTGTTTCTTTTGGCGGACATGCCTCATCCTTGCTCCTCCGGGCTGTCTCCCGGGTGCAACTCTGATTCTTCCCTGACAGGGAGGCAGGCAGGCAGGCAGCAGGGACAAGGCTCCCTGACCATTGTGCTTCCTTGTCTTTGTGGCCTCATGCAACTCCCCCCACAACCCCCAAGGCTGCCCTCTTTGCTCTGTCCCTTTGTTCTCCAGCTCTTCCCAGCCTGGGTGGGAAAGCTGAGCTGATTTACTGTGACACATGGACACACATGGATGTTCCTGGCTGAGGCTCATGCTGTAGTGTGTGCAAGAGGTCTGTGCACATCTATGAGGCCAGTCTGTTGAGGATTTTGTGTTTTCTTTTTGTTTGTTTGCATGAGACTTAATTTTGTTGCTAGTCTGAGAGAGCAAAGTTCCCTCCCCATCCAACCTCAACAATAATAAAACTAAATTGAGCGACTGCTCTCGTTTTTGTCCTAAAGATTAGATCAATATTAGCCAATTCTAAGATTTTATTATTCTAAGTTAGTGTTAAGTATGTCAGAATTGTTTGACAATACACTTT